TAAGAAAGTAAAAACATAAAAATGTCTGCATCCAGAAGACTGCATTTTGACAGCCATTTATTTGGATCCCCTAATTTGACAAAATGTAAGCATTATCTAATATATGATACTTTTAGTTTCGAAGGTATTGAGCCCTTTTTGACTTTTTTACTCCTTAGCCATGCATGGAAAAATACAGAAATAATGGTATTAAGCAATCTTTTATACCATCACCCATTAATGTATACCTTTCTAAAATTGGAGATCAATAAGAAACTTAATTTTAAGGACATTTCTTGGCTGTCTGTTTGAGCTAGTTCGTATCTTAATGGGCATTAATGTAGACGTTTTAAAAAAAGCAAAAATAATGTGCGGTAGTAGTTGGTTATTTTTAACACACATGCACTAGTTGCGTTTGTTTTTATTGCTATGGGAATATCAGACAATGCTAACAGGAACAAAAGATTAAAATTCAACATGAGTGTTAAGAAAGAAGGTTGTTTCAAAAATAATATGAGGAGATGGCAGGCTTTAACTATACATTTCCTGTAGAGCAGTTCTTCTGAAGTTACTTAATACAATCTGGTTTCTCAGAATGTCCTTTGGATATGATTATATTATTTTTATTGAACACACATGGAGGAAAAAAAATAAAAAACAACAAACCACACACACAATTATTTGTCCCTGATACGGCATACTGCCTTTCACACACAATTTCTAATAATAAAGTAGTCTTTAACACATTTAAAAATCTGTGCTTGGAAGAGGAAGCATGGATACAAACCACGCAGAGCAAGCAGTGGGCACACGACATCAGGAGCTGGGACTCAGCATCACACTCTGACCCTCTTCTTCTTAATGGGATATTCAAGCAGCACTGGGTCAAAGCAAAACATGGGTACAGGCAATCTGCTCACTGACAAGGGAGCAGAGGGGGAGGACAACGAGCCGAGGAATTTTGACATCTATACGTCAGATAGTGGGAAGATTGGTCAATTTAGGTTTCTTTTATCCACATGCCTGGTCAAAATTGCCAAAATGAAGCATCTCTAATCTAAGGAAGCACATGGCTGACAGTTGGGCATTGCTTTACAGTCTTGTGTTGCGAGTTGTATGTATGTGCTTAATGAAACAGTCTGAAAAATTTCCTTCAAAGAGATTTTTATGAAAACAGTGGGATTTGGGCCAAATCATTTATGTCAAAAGCATCTGCTTTCTCAAGAAAATGATGACTTAAAAACAAAACAAAACAAAACAAAAAAAAGGAAATAAAGAAAAAGAAGACAGAAATACCTGACAGAGGGAGCCTGTCTATCCAAAGCAGTCTCACGGTGCTACAGATCAGGGGCTGTTTGGGTGCTCTGTGTCCCCCAACCCTGCTGTGTGCTGTCTGCCCAGTGGGGCTGCGTTTCCCAAAACGTAGCCCAATTTTTTACTGGGATGTGTGGGATTACACTGTTTGTAAGCCTAAGATAGCTCTCAGCATTAGGTTATATTGATAGTGTTAGGTGTATTTTGGTGATTTAAGTCTACAAGGTGTAGCCAGCTCATGGGTTTCTACAAATGTAGTCACACAAGTTGTATAAGCTGACACCAGACTCTCTAACGAGGCTTGGCCCCAGTCTCCCCATGACTTCTCACCAGTGTCACTCCTCGGTATGACCAGGTCTGATTTATGGCTGGCATGGCTCTGCCAGCCAAAGCTCCCAGCGTGGGCACCATCACACTGAAAAAACCCACTCCTGGAATCAGCTCGCCTGGCACGAAGGCAGCTTGGCCCCGGTGCTGGCTGCATGTTGGGGAGAAGCTCCTCGTTGGCTTGGTAGAGCCACACGGACAGACCCACCATGCACAGGCACAGCTTTCCCAATGCCTCCTGCATCCCACTGCCTCCCGAGGGTGCTGCACTTGACACCACAGTGCAAGACCCAAAGATATTTGAGGTGCATACAGGAACCTTAAAAGCAACAACTGGGTCACTCCGATCTGCAGTCTGATCACGCTTCGTTCGCTCAGCAGTATCCCTGACAGGTCCCATACACTGCCTACAGCTGGCTCTGCTGGTTCTGTGCCAAATGAGAATTTCCTGGTGTGAAAAGAATCCTCAGTTGTCTATTTTGTGTCCTTTCTGGGCTTCCAGAATAGTACAAATCATGTTTAACTGGGCTATAGAGCTAGCACTGAATACCTTCAAGCAAGCCCATAAATCAGAGAGTGAAAGCTGGGTGTTATTGCTCACAAAATGCAAAATGGGATGTCTGATGTTCCCCAAATTACTCTTTTATTGAGCTGTATTGAAATGATGAAGACTGTTTCTGAACTGGGTGCTAACAAGCATTTTTTCCTCCAGCACCTATGGTCACATTAAAACTGCTGGTCATCCAGTTTTACGTAATTCCCTCAGTGGAAGGGCAGAAGCAGGCCGGCTTCTCTTCTCCTGCATCACTGTAAATCTGGGCAAACTTCATTGTCTAAAGCAGAATTAATTAACTCTGTACTTACGCTGGTTCAACTCTAGTCATGATCTAGCCTCTCACCCGTAATAAGGGCTGCTGTTTAATAGCCTGTGGAGAAATAGAGCAGGGGAGCACAGAACCTGTATCCTAATAGTAGGGATTCTGCTTTATGGCAGAAAAAAAAAAAAAAATAGAATCAGAAAAACGTAAGACTGGCCAAAGGTTTTGCTCATTTCTTTCTAAAACCTTCCTGGCACCTGTGCTGGGCAAAAAAAAAAAAAAAAAAAAAAAAAACAACAACAAAAAAACAAACAAAAAAAAAGGAAACTGATTTGCAGGCACAAATTTCCAAATGACGCAAGAAGTCTTGAGGCATTTGCACACTGCTTTTCATTTTTCTGTCGGATTCTGGTAACATCTCAGAGCCAAGGTGCCCGTTTCCTAAACAGATAAAGCTGCACTGCCAGCTACAGTCTGCAGCTTGGCAAGTCACATCCTGGCTGCCAGCCTGGCAGCTGCCCTAATGAAACTAATTGGAGGTTCATCTGCAACGTGGAGAGCCCTGTGATCAGAGATTTTGCTTTTGAATGTTGGCTTTAAAGTGGCAAACTGCGGCACGCTGGTTTTAGATTGCTCTTTGGCTTTATTAAGTGCCTTTTGGTTGACTTTACTGTGTGATCATTCCTGTGCTGCACTTACTGCGTGGTGCCATGTATGCCACGCTGGCACTGGCAAGCCCCTACTTTACAGAAAAAGGATGTGCCACCAGCCAGCCTTGCCAGCATGACCCCTCTGCTGTTCAGGCTGTGCCCTGTGTGAGTCTGTGACACACCTGCTGATGGATCATAAAGCAAAACAGTGGCAAGCCTGGACATTGTCGAATTTAAATATTTTGGATGCAGAATCAAAGGGGCATTTGCTGGTTTCTTAATGTTCCAGACGTGAGTGTCAGCCCAGCTGCACCGCAGCCCTGCTCCTTGTTAGTGCTTCACAAGATGCTTGACAACCTGTATCAGAGTGTCCAGACCCATGCCATCAGCACCCCATGCTTTCTGGGACATACAGTAATCCATACAACAGTCCCAACAAACTGTGGAAAACACTGAATCCTCTAATTTTGCTTTAGAGCAGGATGGGGGGAAAGATCTGACTGTCTTCATCAAGAGAAAGAGTTTTCCCAACAGCACTGCACTGATCCTACTGCAAATGAGGGCAGGAACAATTTTTTTTCTAGTTGGCTCCAGCACTCAGATTCCTGTAGATTTTAAACATCCCTAACTATGTCTAAACACAATTTGCCTAAACATAATCCCTCCTTTGTCATTCTGACTTCATCTACACATGCAGCTTTAGTAATGTGACTTTTGTCTTGGTTGTGTCAGCAAAAATGTTACCTGTGTACTTGGACTGAGAAATGTTTTGAAACATTGATCAACAGAGTAGTTGAGGCATTTGCAGGCCTTTTGAATTATTTATTTTTTGTATTTTTTCCCCTGGTGCATATGTATATGTGCAGCACATTAGAAATTCTGAAAATAAACCAAATAAAAAAACATACAGAGGTATAATGGGGGACCATGTACATGAGCCGCAACATTTCTCACACCACTTTGATGACATGAATTTCCTTGCTGCGCTCCTTTCTCCCAATACATATCCTATTCTGAGTGGATAATGTTTCCAGCTGGTGACAGGAGGGCATTTTTTCATCATAAACCAATATGCATTTAGTTTCAGACCACCTTATGTTTTTACAAGATACATTTTTTTCTTTTCAGAAGACTATTTGAGAGTGAAATTGAATAAGGGAGTTTTAATAGTACATGAAGTATGTGGGTGGCTTTGCTTGCTGTGTGTTAGGAGATGCTGCACCTTCAATTTAACAGACAATGCTACGCTTCAGTAGACCATTATATTACTGCACTATTCCTAACATAGCAGTCATATCGAAATTGTATTGCTACATTATACAAGTATGCTTAATTAAACCCAGATATCAGCCCAAGCTCATACAATAGCTGTGTGTGGGTAAAGGAGAAGCAATGAGTTAGAGGGAAAAATAAAAAAAAAAAAAAAGAAAAAAAGGATTATTCTAGAGAAGAAACAGAGGAGGAGGGAAAGGGGACAGTTAGAGCACCAAAGGTAGGAGAGCAATTGAATGGCGACTGCTGGTGCTGCAGACTGACCTGTGATGTGTGCCCTGCAACCATGCTGAGTAATTAGGGTTTACACTAATTTTTTGTAACATTATTATAGGAAAAGACATACTTTACTACATGGAACTAAAGAGGGATAGAAGAAATGAAGCATAACTGACAGTTTTTAAGATAGATGTTCAGCAAAGGTTTACTTAATGTCTCTGAAGTGCTAGGCATAATAGAGCTGTGGGTTTAACATGTCTGGAGTAAAAAATATGTATATCCTCTGCACTATCCTCCCTTCCTGTGCCAGTTGGCTTTAAATGCATTGCTGAAAACACTAAAGTACAAATAGTGTGCTTGAAAGAAAAGTTGATGCTCAGACTGCGATTGTGTGGGACTAGAAGAATTATTTGTTGGGTCTTTGATCATGTTCCAGGGAAGCAAAATAAACCACAGCAAAAGTACCTCTGGCTGTTGAGCAATGCACCCTCAAACATGTGAAGGGGAAAGCAATTTGGGAGACCTCTGCAGACCTTTGCAGAAGGTCAGAGTCCCAGTGTGTTGCTTAGTGTGGAGATGCCTGCTGTAAATCTCCGAACTGTTATCATCTGAATTTTCTTTATGTTTGACTCATTTAAGTCCAGTACCTGAGCACCAGGGAAAATATGTCTTTTTTAAGTGCCATTTAAAAACAAACAAACAAAAAATTTTCTTTGTACTCTCTTTATTGGTGTCTCCTGGCCATAAATCTACAAGGGAGAGTTCATTCTGTCACTGGTCTGTCCTTTAATACCCCATTCATAGCATGGCTTAAGTCTATTGAAAAGCCATCCAAAGAAACCCCAAAGGCTCCAATTATTTTTGGGAAAATGAGCATTCGTACACTGAACTGCTTGATGAAAGGTCTAACATTGGCTGAATTATCAAACTGAGCAAGCATAGCTGTGATGCTAGCAGTGCATTTATTTATGGAGAGCACTGCCAAACTAAACCTAGCTGCAGGTGGTTGGGCTTTCATTTAGCACTGCAAAAGGCTTGCTATTGTTTACATAAATATGGCATTAATCCTTGAACTTCTCCGGTGTATTAGTTTAATATATGTTAAGCTCGTATACCAAAGAGATGAGCAGAACAAATGCATTGCTGCACAAGATGTGGTTTGCTCCAAGGTGGGTGTTGGTCCTGGACTGGGATCGGGTGTGGATCTGGAAGGAGGAGGTTGCAGAGGTGGGGATTGTCATGCATTGCATGGCCATGGCTGTAGGCCATGCTGCTCCCCGTCCTTGCCCCAAAAGTCTGGGCTGTGCCTGTGGTGGGCTGAGGTTCCTCTTGGTCGGTCAATGCTATCTGGGTGTGGCAAAAAAAAAAAAAAAAAAAAAAAAAGGAAGAAAGTTATTTTTAGGTAAGGGGACTGTATTCTGGGACCTGGTTGCAGCCCATAAGATGGAGAAATTTAATGCCTGCCTTTGTGTTTTAGATGATACGGCAAAAATGGGCAGTTAATGAGCAGCTTAGTCAGAGTGGTCAAAACTTGTGCAAGAAGTTCTGAAGCATGTTGGGGAGAATCTCATGGAGTAATTTCTCATTTTATCAAAGGACGAAAATTAATTCTGTTCTAACTGAAACCAGGACAATTATTTACTTTTGTTGACTTTTTTTTTTTCTTTATTCATTACCTTTGAGAGGAGAACACATGAGCTTTGTCACACTGGTTTCTTTCTTTTTTTACTTTTTCGGTACTTAGGGTTAATTTAAACAACTGGGGTAGACGTGATTTTTAAAATGTGAACTGGGAATTACCTTCTTTTTTCTTCTCACTTCTGTGAAGTGCTCCCTACCAAATTTTTGGTGACATTAATCATTAGCAGATTAGATCAATCTCTTTTCACTTGTTAGTAAATGAAAATATTTTTACTACACAGAGTTTCAGAAATTCTCTAGCAACTTTGCTTGCTGCAAAGGCTTCTGGATAAATTTAGGAACTTTACACACACATGATGCTCCACACGTATAAACAAAACAATGTTCTTCCACGGTAATGTCATCAGCCTTTGCTAAACAGAAATGCCAACATTTACATTTACCAAAGTCTTGGTTGTTCAATATGTGTCTGTATTTTGTCAAAGCAGATACAATTTAAATGTATGTTTAGTGATAAATCCTTTCTGATTTTCTTAGTTCTATCCAGACTATGATAACCTCACATTTAAGGATCCTGAATTCTTGCATAAGCTCCTTATAGATAGAGCCTGTAGTTACACGTCTCAAATCTCAACCTATCTGGCAGTGACAGTGTTCAAGATCATATCTGAATTTATTTATTCATTGTTTAGGATACTACAAAACTGCTTTTTACATTATTTATGTTGCATTAATGCTTTTTATATTCTTCAGTTTCTTTTTTTTCCCCTTATTTCTTTTCTTTTTCTTCAGGATCAAAAATATAAAACTATAGTTGGTTGTAGTTCCATTTCTTTACATACCTGTCCAGTGTGCTTTTAGACCAGGCTATACCGATGGATGAACTGCTTGAAATCAAGCAGTCAGCAGTTCTGCCTTGCTCCCCACAAGTCCTGAAGTTGTTTTTATTCCCTCTGTGAAAATGGCTATGTCAGCACGGAGTACAAAAGGAATCAAATTATACTTCATCTTATTACAAAACCACCTGGAACTCAGTGGAAACATCCCACTCCTCTTTGCCTTCCAAGGCTTTGATCCACTTGAAAAGCCTCATCCACTGTCATGAGGGCTTACCTCCCTGCTAACTCAGCATTACAAGAAAGTAGATTTAAACTGAAGGTTAGTCTAGAAGATGCCCAACAGATGGTTTTCCATGTGTTTCATCTTCTTCCCAACGCTCGATTTGGGTCATCTAGGCAGAACCCCAGTACTGCCAACTCCAAGTATCAAGAATCCAAGAGTCAGACTCTTTTTCCTTCCCTCCTCTCTAGGAAAAAACAGGGGTTAGTTTAGAACTGCAAAACTTACTTTAATCACAGGGGCCAGCAAAGAACTTCTATAGAAGGGGAAAACTGCGATTTCCATGTTATTCCATGACTGGGTCTCAAAAAGTCCCCAGTACTTTGAGAACTGATACTGCTGTTGTCTCTGTCCCGTATTGACTTAGGGACTTGTCCCTAATGGTCCATCACTGGCAGCCCATTAGCTTAATTGGCAGAGGGGCTGCAAACAGCACCTGACCCAAATCTTTCTGATCTCTTCCCATATGGCCTCTATGGGATGCCTGCATCATGGGGGGAACGTAGTGCAAAACAGAAGGTGGAGATTTGCCACTTAACTCACTGGTTGGCCTTCAGGATCCATGAGGGTATGAAGACTGTCTTGTTCCCATACACATGAGTACACGCACACACGCACACACACACATCAAGGATGCCGCACTGTGCCTGTGCAACAGCTCTTGCTGATGAGCTCCTGCTCATCTCTTTAATATTTGATAGCTGTTTGGCAGTCAGCAGAGAGTAGCTGAGCTTTCTGTTATGTAACTCCTATTAGAACTAGGGGGTTGATAAAGCTTCCTCATCATGAGAATTACAGCCTATTTCTCACTTCTTTGCATCCAAATATTAGCCTTTGATGTCTGCACTTGGCTCTCGCTGCAGCTAAAATCTCTTGCGGTACATACTGCATAGCCGTGTAGAATAACAGCATGTTCTTCCTGCCAATTAAGGAGACGCCAAATGATGTCAAGTTAAGGTTGAAAATGGTTTTCTTCTCCACAACCAGATAGCTCTGCACTGGAAGCTTTTCAATGCCTTTTTGGGATCTCCAAACCCAGTTGCAAGGAGATTATGCCAGTCCCATTTCTTCTCTGCCTTCCTCCTAAACTCACACCTTCCTGCTTGCTTGCTTGCTCTTACTGCAGTGCAATAGGGGGATTAAACAGAGTTCATCTTTCCATTTTGCCTTGATGCTTTAGAGCATTTCAAAATAGAATATGACTGCGATAAAGTGTGCTCAGAAGAAAACAGAAGCTTAGAAGGAGGTTTTAAGTTTCAGGGGGAAAAAAAAAAAGTGTCCAAAGCAGCCAGCAAATGGAAGATAATTTGAAAGCTTATAACTTCCTCCACTTCTGTGAACCTGAGATTCTCTCCTGGGTCTATCCCTCTCTCTCGTCTATGGTCTTAAAGAAAATCTCTTGACAACTATTATTCTCTGTGTTACTACAACACTATATTCAGTATTTTAAGCTTTACAGGGTGGGAGAAATCCCTAGCATGACCTTCAGTCTTGGGTATCCTTCTGTCTTTATCTTTTGGAAATATGTCCGCAAATAGACTTACTTTCAGCTTTTTATTTCATGTGGTGTTGAAACCAGTCCTGTGATGTCGTGTATTTTAAGTTGGTAGATTGAACTGCAGGTGATAAAGGCTCTACTTTATCCTGCAAAATAAACTGCCTTTATTAATCCCTTGGGTTTATCGTGAGGCTACAGACTTTTTTTCATCCTTCCTCCAAAAAAGTGAGCTCCGTGTTTGAGCAGAGTAGGTAGTTGACAATGCTGGGAACTGGGGATGTCTGTCTGCTTGATGGGTCCACCATGGGCTGCACCTGCTTCCTTCCAGCATCTGGGCTGTGCTCGGGAAGAGGGAGCAACCCTGTGTCCTGCTGCCCATTTGATGCTGGGCAGAAACCTGTCCAGTGTGAGCTGAAATGTGGTCATCAGTTCCTTGCCCATCATCCCAGAGCAGCCACTAGGTGAGCTAACGGCAATCAGTCACTGCTGATGGGGGCTGAGGTTGAACCCTACTGCCTGATAGGCAATATAGTTTTTGGGTGAGACTGAAAACTGTCAGGTATCAGATGTACTTAATTTTAAGTTTCAATAGACATGAGTGTAATCAAAACTCATGTTAAGTCGTCCATAAGGAAAACACTTGCACAGCTTCTGTTTTCAGGTGCCAAATTCCAGGCATCTTAGTGGTTAGATTTTTAAAGGTTTCTTACTACCTAGCCTTTGAAACTCAACCTTGAGATATCCTGAATAGGAGGGTTTTAAAACCAGCCTTCACATATACAAAAATGCATTTAAAAAATTTAAAGTTATCTTTTGAGAGGATAGGAGCTAATTTAACCTTCCTCCCATTCTTTTGCAAAACAGAACTGCATGTGGGATAATTAATTTCTAATCTCTACAACTAAGAAAGTTTGTCACATCAGAAGGCCTTTTTTTTTTTTTTCAAGAATATATCCCAATACTGTGCTTTTTACATATAGAAAAGTCTATTTTTATGAGGTCTTGGTGTGCCACCAAGATTAAACCCATGAAATTTGCCATGGGATGTGGTTGAAGCCTTGTATTTAGCAACATTAAAAGAGAGGTTGGAAGTTTATGAGGAAGCTTAAAAGAACGATCCAGAATTTTTGTGGTGTCTGGCAAAACAGAAGATTTTCAGGGGATTCCACTTTTCTGCTGAACTATAAGCTGCCTAAAACTTCAAGTAATAGACCAAACTAATTATTCCAAGAACTGAAGTTTTCCAAATTGTAGTAATGTATTTTGCATGTTTTGCAGAACATACTAGTATCAGGCTGGAAAATAAATAAAATAAATAAATAAATAAATAAATAAATAAATAAATAAATAAAAGGTTGAAATTCTTGTGCAAGGTCTAATACATTGGGTAGAATGTGCCTTGTCAGTTACTTAAGTATCTCCAGCATCAGGAAAATAAAGACTAAACGGAAGGATGGAAGTGGCCTGTGGGTGTGCTTTCTGACCTGTTCTTAGGAGAAAAGGTAAGCCACCAAGCCAGGCACAGCAAACTCCTCTGTCTCTTGCTACTAAAGATTTCAGGACGGAAAAGTAGATATTTTATGTTTTTTTATGGTTGCTTTTGGGTGTACGAGATGACAAGTATATGGGACTGCCAAATGCACATTTAAGTCAAGTAGGCAGTAACACAAAATCTGCAGTGACCGCATTTTGTAAATCTCTCAGAGTAGGTGATGTTTGGCATAGGAACCTGGAAGGAAGTCCACCTAGGATGCCTTCCACCTCTGAACAGGTAGCATTGAATATAAACATTCATAAGATAAATATAATGTGCAGTGGGCTATTAGAAAACAAAACAAAAACAGGTGAATGTCAGAAGACTGAAATTCCAGAAGAAATAGGAAAAATGCAGATGTGGCAAATACTTTTATTGAAAAGTCAGTGAATGCTCATACATAGGACCATGAAGAGACTGCAGCGTTCAGGTCTTCACAATGCTGAGTCTCTGAAGGGGTAAGAAAGGAAAAATTGAAAAAATTGTCCCTTCCTTTCAATTATATCTGAAGGTCTAATAAAAGATACTATCTCTCCATGCAAACCTTGTCTTTCATGGAAAGATTTACATGCCTATGTGACATGAAAACCATTAAGCAGATCTAATTAGACATCCATGCCAGAACGTCCCCCAAATTAATGAAATACATTCCAGTCAAAAGCAAATCTCAAAGGAGCACCTAAATGGGAACAAAGCCCGATAAGTTATCTTTGGTTTCCTCCTTTCTGTCTTGTAATGAAAATGTTCAGGCAGCCAGAATTAATAACACTGTGAATAGCAAATAAAAGATCCCAGACTGCTGGAAGTCAAAAGAAAGTTGGACTTGTGGCCCTTTGACAAAGCAACTGAAAGAGCCAAACTGAGCATCTCAGCCAACATGATTGAAGCCTAATGCCACCTGGTACATAAATATTGTCCTTCCTATTTGCATATATTTTTCTTATTTTTTTTTTCCAGTTTCCTAGTATTCAAGGTTAGAACTTGTCAAACCTAACTAATGTGGCAATTTAATCGGGAGTTGCATTGTGTCTCATTTAAGGCAGAGTTATTTCTCCATTTATTAGATACATATATATGTATGTATAGCTTTTTTTACGTCATCCTCCTACACCTTATAGGAAATGAATGTCAAAGCAGACTATAAAACCAGACAGCACTTCCTGTTGAAATCCTGAAAGGAGGGACAAGCAGGGGGCAAATTATACAACATCGACAAGAACAGCTCAAAAGACCCTCCAAAAATAGCATCACAAGGAGCCAAAAAGCCATGAGCTGGCTTCTCCTCCCTTTCGTGCCCACATGAGCTCTTCCACATGGGGGTCCCCAGAGCCAGGGCCTCCCCCTGCCCCCTCAGTGGGTGCCCCCATGGGATGAGGATAGGGATGGGGCTACTCTCTGTCCCCAGACAGACCTTGCATCGCTGGCACTGGTTTCTTGGAGGATTGATGAGGTGCCGTCTTCTCCCCTCGAGGAAATGCTGCTTTATGGATTCTCATTCTGAACGGTAATTAAAAACAACAATGGAGGAAATGAAAGCTGGTTTTTTATGTCTACCTTGTTCATTTTGGTGGTTTATTCCACTGCTCCAAACCTGGTTTCATCTGATCTGGGTTTTCATCAGAAACCCAAAGGGAGGAATCACCACTGGCCTGATGGACCTAGTGCTGTGCGTGACAGCATCCGTGCAGACGTGGATGGTTTGCCAGGCTGGCCTCCAAGTTAGGAGTATCCACAGCTTTGCATCATCACCCTGCTCGCTCAGACTCCCATATACTGCTAGCACCATGCTGTGTAGGCTTGCGGGCACTTATTTGACATCTCCTATTTTGGGTTTAACTTTCCTGCCCTCGGCGAGAGCTAAGTTTCTGCCAGATATTGTAACAAGACAGGAAAAGAAATCTGTTGCCATGATTGTTTTTTGATTTCCATGAGAAGCCTCATCCACGCTAGCAGCAGCAAATAAGCAGCATATTTTAATAGCTTTATTCTCTTGTTTTATTTGTCCTAGATAAGGCCTGGTTGCTAATTATTCTGGCCCTGGATCGTCTTTCCTCATTCATGTTGTAACATACCACATACGCTAGCGGTACTCAACACACAGAGAAGAAGCAGAGTCAGAGCTTCCAGCTATTGCATTACTGTTGACTGACAGCTTAAATTAAAATCTTGTACCTAGCTGACTTTCACTGAAAAGAAAGAACAGTGTTTGGGTGGAAGGGGGGAGGAGAAAATAGGTCTCCAAACATGAAGTTTCCAACACTTTGAGCAAGAAGTTGTGACATACGCAGTGCAATTAGCGGCATTGCCCCTTCTCCAAATCTGCAGCTGATGCAACAGAGATTAGAGCACAGAGAAAACTACACCGCAGCACGC